TTAATCTTGTATTAATTTCGAGCAGAATTTCTCAGCCAGCCGGCGTTTAATTTGTCCGATATAAAAAGAAAACATTCCAGGAACGTTTTTTGTAAAAAGCTTCTCAACTACTAAAAACTTCCCAAATCCGATCACTACTAAGCATAAATAACAAAACTTATGTTTTGCGTAAGGATAAAAATTTACAATATTTTAGGGATGAATTCCCATGTCCCAAATCGAATTCTCTTCTATGACACGGCGCAGAAATATTATCACAAAAAGTCACTTTTCACACGTAACCCAGAAAAAGTAACTGTTGCAAAAAGTAGATAACTGCATTCCCTGGACGGAACTTGGCGCTTGAAACTCTCCTATCGATCCAAGTCGAGCGCAGAGTCGGTCTCAGAGACAATCAAAACGAACAGAGATGCAACCGACTGATTTTAATGGATGATTTTTACTAGGGAGATAAGTAGACGCAAGCGTTTCTCAAAGATAAAGGAAAAAAACGCTACTTAGTTCAACCAAGGGATTCTTAAATTCGTATTTAAAATGCAAACACTGTTGCTAATACTTAAATATTGAAAAAGTCGGGTAAACCTGGAACATAGTGGAAAATTCAAATTATGTTTACAAAGAGTGTTTATTTTAACTTGAAGCTACTACTTTTTTATATCTAATTCACTTAGTAAGTAACATATTAAAATACTGCTACAATTGAAAAGTAGGTAATTCTTCAGAGAAAAGAATTTATTGTTCTGGCTCAACTACACACGTCTTTAAGTAAACTTTTTTTAAATATTGTTTTGACCTTCACTGAACGAGGTTGTTTCCTTTACCTCCTTACTTAGTCGTACTTACCACTCATCTTGAAAAGCTGGTTGAAAGACAGTCTCAAAACAGAATTCATACAATAAATCTTAAATATCACGGTCCGCTGTTCCTTATTCAAATATCATGCACCCCAGATCATACGAAAATAGCTACCTCAAGCTCTCGAACATACACCTTATCTTTTTGTTATTGTTCTTTCTTATTTTCGATACTGGTTTATTTTGTTTCGCATCTTTACCTGTTTCTCTTTAAATACCATCAGTCCACTAGATTTGTTAATACATATATGTAAGTGATGGAGAAATAATATCCTAGACCATAGATTTATAAACGACATGTTATTACTCTATGCCTGTTGTGTTTGAGTATCATTTCAGCTGCATGCCTGGATCATAACGTTTTAAAAACATCGGAGCAGTTAAATCAAATCAGAAACGGGTAAAACTAAAATATATTTCTTAATTGCTATAAAATACCGCAACTGTCTTCTAATTTCACCGAATTCGTATCTCAACAACTTTCCAATAACGATAAATGAAAACATCAGCCGGTCCCCATATTTTTTATCAGAGCAGTGGCAATTCTTTAATGAGAGTTATAAAACTGCAAAGCACTGTTCTTTACTTGCAGAAAATGATGCGTTTCATTATTTATAATGGTCACGTCCGTTACGTTTCCATTTCTAAAGCACTTAGCTCTGGCTTTCATACATTAAATAACAAACCAATACAACTGAGGTCAACGTGTCTTTGCAACCAAAACCCCTATGTCATCGAGCCAAGCGTTTCTCAAAACTGACCTTACACTTGTTACTCAGAGCACACATTTCTATTGATCTTTAACCATTTAAGTGTGCTTATTTTCTAATCACAACATAGAAATAAATGCTACTACAGGGCTTTTATAAATGATTCTAAGGGCGTAGTTGGCCATGGACTTCAAAAATCCCTCTTCGTTGAAATTAATGTCTAATGTCTAGTGTCTACAAAACAGTCGTTTTCAAAACTCTTGGTGGTTGCGTACGAAAATTTTGTGTTTGTGTTAGTAAGCGAAGACTGTAAAAATGGTTTCTTCTGTTGCACAAAACACTTTCATTGTTATGTCTTGTTATCGCAATGGGACTTCGTAAACGAAGAGTTGTGTATTCTGTAACGGCTTATAAGCAAGAATATCTGGCCAAATACCGTGAATTAATAATTCAACAAACATCGTTAGAGGTTCAAATCCGATATTAATCAACAGATTTGTTCGAACTGGCAGTGTCAACAAAGGCAAATCTCCTGGAAGACCTTCAGTATCTGAGGAAGTTGTTGATGATTTGAGACGATTTAAGCAGAATCCACAAACATCTTTGACAAGCAGTGAGGAGTTCCTGTTGCGACATGAAATTGAACAATAGATCCAAAGCATTGACGAAAGGTGTTACAGAACATTTTTAAAATTAAAAAGAAAGTGAACACGTATCTTGAACAAAATGGTGACCATTTACTGTGATACACAATAAATTTGTTACTTTTTATTGTAATAAATTAGTTTTATTTTTTTAATAAGTAATAAGTGTGGTATTTGTCGTGAGTCATTGGGCAGTTAGTAAAGTCTTCATAAAGTGAGAACCGGCACGCTTCCATAACCTACTTCGACCCTATAATCATTTATAGAAACCCTGTATAAATAGAATTCGGCCTAGCTTGGTAGCCGTTAACTTGGTACTTGGTAGCAAACCGTGCCGAGCCGTCAAAAGGACGTCTTGAAAAGCTTTCACTGCAAAAATTAAATCTTCAAATGTTAACTATTATTTAATTTCACTAAGAGGAAGCAATAATGCTAATGTAAGGGCTGACGTGAATCCCTTCGATGTCGCATTAATTACACTAGTTTAAAGCAGTTCTGTGTGAAAAGAATAGAACAGTGTTTCTAATGTACATTTAAGTCCCAATTTCAAAACTATCTTCAAATTTTTACTACCCCAGCGTAAGCTGCGGAAGTACTGTAATAGGGTCTATAGTGTTACACAATAAATGTTATTTAAATTTCATAAAACAACATAGTTCTATACTTATGATTTATGAATTCGACTTTATTTTCTAACCTAGATATCCAGATTTTACAATTTTGTATTAGCACTAAACACAAACGTCGTATTTTTTAAAGTATGAATGTCGTACTTTATAAATTTTGAACCCCACAGTTTATGAATGATGATGATGAAGATCGTACTTTGTGATTGACGCACGTCGTGCTTTGTAAATTCTGAACAACCCAGTTTACAAACGAGAAACGTCGTACCTTGTAAATTTTAAAGGGTGTACTTTACAAGCGACTAACGCCGTGAATTCAATTGTATTACAGAAAGTTTGTAAATTCTAAAGGCCGGTACTTTTCATTTGACACTACTTGTACAAAAGGACTGAAAAAATTTCAAAATCAAATTATTTTATTGACCAAATCAACAACAGCTTACCGCATTTTCCAGAAAATTTGAGAATGCAGTACTGTTATTTATTAGTATTACACTGCACCTATTCAAACTGATATACAGTAGACGCCGCTTAATATGATCACGGTTAATGTTATCAACCGCTTAGTGTGATCAAAATGGCTTGGAACGGACCCACGCAATACCTATGCATTACAGTTTTTCCGTTTATTGTGATCAATATTTCGCTTATTGTGATCAATCTTGCAATTCTTATACAAACGGGAATTGCTTTTTTGGAGAAGCGAGACGACTGAAACTAGTATTGTGTTTTAATGAACATTCATTGCTCTCAAAAGGTACATTCGCTTATACCACTTACTTTATACAACCACAATCAGTGGTCAAAAACAGACTTAAGTTTTTGTTTTCAACTTTTGAACGAACGAATTCTTTCTGTTTTAAATTTGAGTAGTATTTATGTAAAAATTAGCACGTCGAAACGACAAAATCTTAGTTTATCAGAGAAAAAAAAAAAAAATCCCAGCCCTTACTTAACAAATTTCTACAACAACCAAAGGAAATCGAGTGTTCCTTTCTCAGAATGATAACCAAAATTTAAAATAAATTCTAATGTTTATGTACCTTCATCTATCAGCGTAATAAACACTGCCTTGTCCATGATTTTGTTTTGTTTCGAGTTTTACTGTCTTTGATGGTGGGGTTCGCTTATTATTATCAGTCGGTTAGTGTGATCAATTTGTCTGAGTCCCAAAGTGATCACATTAAGCGGCGTCCACTGTACGTATCCTTGTTCAAATCAACATTTCCAAAAATATTGATTACATCAATACAAAAATGTTTTTATGGAAAAAACTCACTTGAAACAAAAGCATAGCATACTTTTTTACCTTTACTTTAACACTACACACATATTTTTATTTTACCTTAAAGGAGTGACAATAAAACTTCACAAAATTAAATTTTATAATTTTTCTAAGAACCTGAATTTTGTTTTGGGGACTGTATTTCAGGGCCGAGGGAAATTCCCTCTAATACGTTAGACCAATTTATTTTTTATGAGGTCAAGATTTTAAGATACATGATGTGTATGATGTGTAAATCGAGTTTTTGGGCTCAACGTTTCGCACACTTTCGTAAGTGGCATCTTTAGGAGCAGGGTTAAGAATAAGGCAAAAGAGCACGGTAACTCAGTATGTCAACCAAACTTTGGGTTTGAGTTGGGTGGATTCAATGGCTGTGTCTTCTAAAGCTTCCATGAAAATATTGGCAACGACTGGTGAGGGAGGAGACCCCACGGAAGTACCAGAGATTTGTTTGTAGAATTGGCCTTGGAAGGTAAAATATGTGGAGGTTAAACATTTCTCCGTGAGATCACTAAGAAGTGGAGGTTGTCCGTCACTGGAAAACAATTCACGGATTAATGTTAAGGACTCGGCTACAGGGACTTTTGTGAATAAAGATGTTACGTCAAAACTGACAATTCTATCTTCGGGGTCAAGAGAGATTTCGGAGATTAGTTCGACAAAATGTGAGGAATTAAGAATATGTGAGGAGGTTTTTCCAGTATATTCCTTCAGAATACGAGCTAGATATTGAAGACGCAGCCATTGAATCCACCCAACTCAAACCCAAAGTTTGGTTCCGCTATATGGATAACACATTTGTCATATGGTCCCATGGTCAAAACGCCTTTTCAGTCTTTCACGACCATCTAAACAGTCAACACCCCGACATTCAGCTTACCATGGAAGTGGGAACCAACAATTTTCTTCCTTTCCTTGATGTTATGGTAACAAGGTTACACGAAGGTCGACTTTGTCATTCAGTCTATCGAAAACCTACCCATACCGATAGATATCTTCACACTACGTCTCATCACCACCCCGCTCAAAAACGGTCTGTCATTGACTCCCTAATTGATCGAGCCATTACGATTTGTCAACCGGACAAACTCCAGAATGAATTAGAACATCTCCAAACATTTTTTCGACAAAATGGATACGACCACCACACTATCAAGTCAGCCATCCAATGTCGAGTTAATCCCAAGTCTGACAATACTTCAAATCGCCCAACTGATCTCGTATCGACTGCAAATCTTCCATTCATTTCTCAGGTCACAGACCGTCTGGCCAAAATACTAAAAAGGCAAAAAGTTAAAACAGTCTTCAAACCCGCAACTAAAATTGCACAAGTTTTTCCTTCCGCCAAAGATTCTCGCCAAGCTCTAGACTGTAGAGAAATATACAGCATTCCCTGCTCTTGTGGTGTAAAATATATAGGAGAAACTGGTAGGTCGATAAAAATTCGAATTCAAGAACACAAACGTTATCTCATAACAGGCGTTCTGACTCACTCAGCCGTAGCTGTTGAAATACATAAATGTCCACATAACCTTAACCGAGACAATGGTTATTATCTGCGAAATATTTGGAAGACCGCACTCGATGCAAATGCTCGTTCATTTCCCCCCACTCCGCCCGGAACCGGCCAATTCTTCCTGTCAAAAGAGTTTCGCCTTTGGTATGGTTGACATCATGGCATATTGAGTTACCGTGCTCTGTTGCCTTATTCTTAATCCTGCTCCTGAGGATGCCACTTACGAAAATGTGCGAAACGTTGAGCCCAAAAGCTCAAATTACACGGTTCCAACCCGGAAAACGATCATGTATTGATTCCGACCGTGAAAGCCACAGAAATTAAGATTTTAAGATATTTACAGTCAAATACTCGAATATACATATTTACTGAAAAATTAAATATTGTACTTACAAACGTTATTTTTTCAAAAATACGAGTACATAAGATTGTTTTTCTTCTTAAACAACAACAGTAATTCCCCATCAGGGTTATATCCCATCAGGGATCACTTTTCCATGGTTTTCAAATTTTAATAAAGTCGGACACTTTTTGCTTCACTTTCTGCAGTATATAGAGACTTGATATATGTATATCTTGAAAATGTGCTTGTTAGATTTTTTTGAGGACACATATGACTTCAGGTATTTGGTTTTCATGCTTTACACAAAACAAAAAACTTTCATCATCTCTTTCTGCCATGTTGACATAACTGATACATCTCGAAAATTTGCATGCCAAAAATTTTTTGACAACACGTATGAACTCAGTAGCAAAAACTGAAATAGCATACTACGCAAGAAAAAGAATTATTTTTAAAAAGAAAACAAAAAGTCAAAAACTAATGTGCAGTTCTTTGAACATTGTATCTACATTAAAATTATTGTCAACCACACGGAGTGTTCTACATATTTTTGAGGTGACACATGTAACTTAGTTTTTTCAACAAAATACCCTATATATTTTTACATACTCCAATTGGTCCCCTCTTAGTCTTTATTTTTGAAATACCACTGTGACGATGCCACATTGTTTCAATTTTCATGATATTTTTAGCAATGCAAAGAAATGATGCTTACGTCAGCCGTTTAAGTTGCACTTTTGACGTACGCGTCATGACCAACTAGAGCAGAAATTTAAAAAATCACACGGTAAACGTACGATGTGCGATTCTTTAAATTTCTGCTGGTAGTTTATAAATATATGTACATGCGGAATGTATGCGCCACACATCCGTCAATGTCAAGTTAAATGTAGAAAAGAAATATGTAACCTAGAAAAGCGCATACGTATCTAGTTTATTTTACTACACTCACAATACACTAGATTTTGGATATTGAGATGTCATTTAACATTTTTTTACGTACCATTGATTTTACCGAGCTACACATCATATTAAGCATCCTGTACATTAGATTTTGACAGTAATGTTTGCTCCTAGTTGAATCCATTTACAAACTATTATTTTAGGAACTTAAAATTAGGTGGGGTTTGTGATTAAACACTAAACGATATTAACAAAAACAGTAAGGAACTAAACAGGATAGATATATGTAAATTGACTAAACGTCGCCTAAATGAAATTCAGATTACTGCAAAGCTAAAAAAACTTCATGGTAAATTCTATTGGCGTAAAGTTGTGTGCAATAGCTAAAGAAATGCGGACGCAATCTACATTTTCATGAAAAATCTCACAACTATTAGCATTTTCATGATAATTATTAATAGTTCACGAGTAATTCCAATTGATCATCGAGAAAAGTAGATGATTTATTTTTTGTTGTTATTTTATTTAAGAGAAAAAATTTCCACTCAGCATATTGTGCATTTGGTTGGAAGATATATTACCTGATTTGGAATATAAATAATGTCAAAAGCAACACTTGGAATAAATAAGAAACTTTCCCAACTAAGATGCAATATTTTATTCTGGTCGCGTTTTTTTCCCCAAAGGTAGAGCCATTACTTTTAAATGAGCAAAAAATAAAGCATTTGTTTTCAAATTTTTTTTAAGTCAATATTAAAATATTTATCCTCCACCTTGAGAAACGCTTCAGGCATTCCACCGTCAAAACGACAAAGAAAATATATAATCGCATTAACATAAATTGATTTCAGAATATGAGAAAAATTCCTATTTCTCGCATTGCTTCCACATTTTTCTTATGTAAAACGCCGGAGACGCGATTATTGCTTTCGCATTTTATTAAATTTTGGAAACGTCAAAATTAATATCGTCAAGTTTAATCCGAGCAAAACTTCGCAAAAGCAAATAATTTCGGCTTTGTTTAAATTAATTTAGGCTTAGGTGTAAATTATTTAAGGCATAATCTATGAGGCAAACGTTAGAATAATTCACTCTGGTTTGTATTTCTGTTAAGTTGGTGAAGTTTCGCAGAGCTTTAAGTAAATATTTACTTAGAGAGAAGGTATTATAATAATATTAAGTGCCTTTCAGGCAGGGCCTTATTTTATCGCGCCACATCAATTTTACTCCCTTCTGATACAAATGTTTGTAATCTCCTTAAATTTAATTTAATCCAGAAACGGCTCTCAATGGCCGGATAATCAGTCGTTTGTGGCGAAAAATACAAGACGTTGAAGCTTCAACTTTTCACCGGCGAATTCCAATTAAAAATCATAATTATTACGAAGCGACTTAATTAAAATTTTCGTTGAAGCGCGTAGCGGTTATGAATTTCCATTCTCTATTCAGTGCTCAGTCTATGATGATAAGCTTAAACTCGTGCATTATCACGTAATTTAAGTAGTAACTTTAGTTCTTGAGTTACATGAAATTGCTGAAAGCGTGGAAATACAATTTATCTAAGTGAAATGTCTGAATTTAATTTGGAATTTGGGTTAGGTAGAGCAGATGTGTCATGCATATTCATCAGAGTCTGGCACATATACACGGGTTTAGATGAAGATGAAAGGTATGACAGAAATCAGCCACCGAAATGCAGGGTGGAAATGGTCGAGTATTAATTTATGATTAGAGAGGTAGGTGCATTAATTATCAAAGAGCAAGTTAGTACCATTAGCTAATCCAGCAACAGGAAACTCATATACGACTTCTTAGAGGGATTTGCAACTTTGAAAGACATTAATTCTGAATCAACATATTAAGCACTCTATTAAAGATCATTTAACAAAACCCAGAAGCACACCGGCTAAAATCGAACTACAATTTTTTACTTTTTACAAAATTAAACTGTACTATTTAAATGGAAACTTTAACTACTAAATAAATACAAGACATTTTTTGATAGATACATTCATATACTTAACTGCAATTACATTTTACAAGTGTTAAAAGAATACATATTTTCGCACATAGTCATGTCATGTGTCTAGAGCAGTTATCCACATTTCTATTATCACATTTTCTATCACAATTCTTGTGCCAAGCCAAAAATTACAAAATGAAACAGTGTAAGATTGTAATGATTTGTACGATAAGTAAAAAGCACATACGACGGACAGGACCCTTTCGGACGACTCTACTAACTTCCACTGGGTCTTCTTAAAAAACTCATTCGCTTACGCTAACGTACCGTTTCGAGTACTATTAATTAAAAAACAATGTCAGAATGCAGCCCCTTTCACTTATTAATTAAATTTACATTCGTGCAAATGGAAATAATAAGTTTATGAATATTTTTTGTTAGAGTTCTGGAACATTAATACGTTGATTCGTTTTTGTAATAAGACGAAAAATTGATCGAATGTTATTAGATAAAACCTCCCTCGTCACTGAAGTACAATAAAACAAATCCAATTTTTAGTAACAAAAAATTTTGATTATCGATTTACTAGTCCTACAATAACCTTGAAACATTTGCAAGATTCCAGAGCATTCGGTTTTGTAATTTCTAGGTTAAATTACAAAATTTCGTTATACAGTTTTTAATTTCTTGCGAATATCTGTATGGTTAAGGCATAAAATTGGGCCAAGCTGTCGAACAAAACTTTCCTTGTTCCTGAAGTACAGTTCAACCAAAAATCATAGAATTTTATTTTGTTATCGCTTTTTTTGTGAAAGCACCTATATTTATGTTAAATAAAAAATTTGTGGATTTTTAGAGTAAAGGGCAACGAATCATGCTATGCGTATGTATTAAGTGAGTTTTTCCATAACAAAATTTTGTGATGACGTCATTAACATTTTAGTAAGAAAACGTAAATTAATTTGCATAGGTACAGTGAAAATTTTGGGAAAATGAAATGAATCGTTCTTGGTTTATTCAATAAAATAAATTACTTCAATTTCTTGCGTCGGTCTGTATAAGCAATTCTAAATTCATTATTTACAACCTTTTATAAATTATGGCGTTGAATATTAACAAAGTGCAGCTTTGGGAATTTACAAAGTATGGTGTGTTTTATCATTTAAAAAATTGGTCTAATGAGTTTCGACAGTACTTCCCTCGCTGTCGGAAACGTGACGACTGCATGCCTATTATGTTTTTTTTTCGCAGTGGATTTCAAAGAATTCGGTTTTGTACTTCCTGAGTAAATCAATAAAATAAATTTACGCATTCATTAATTTTTTTGAGTCACCCTGTATATGCAAATCCAAAAAAAAATCAATGGAGTGATAAATCACAAGTACAGACTCATCATATTTTGTACAGTTTAGATAGGATTTATTCGGCAAACTTTCAAGCTGACGTCATCAATTTTTTGGAGGGGATAAGCAAATGTATTTTGACTAAACATTTATTATGCTCCTTATAACCTTAAAACATCTGCAAGATTTCAAAGCATTCGGTTTTGCAGTTCATGATTAAATCAAAAAAATAAATTTACGCATTCATTAATTTTTTTGAGTCACCCTGTATATGCAAGTCCAAAAAATATGAATGGAGAGATAAATTACAAGTACAGACTCATCATATTTTGTACAGTTTGGATAGGATTTATTCGGCAAACTTTTGAGCTGAGGTCATCAATTTTTTGGAGGGGATAAGCAAATGTATTTTGACTAAACATTTATTATGCTCTTTATAACCTTAAAACATCTGCAAGATTTCAGAGCATTCGGTTTTGTAGTTCCTGATTAAATCAATAAAATATATTTACGCATTCATTAATTTTTTTGAGTCACCCTGTATATGCAAATCCAAAAAATATGAATGGAGTGATAGATCACAAGTACAGACTCATCATATT